GAAAAGGTCCAAAGGTGTACAGGTAGTGGGAGGGGCAGGGGAAAGGAAAGAAGGGAAAGGAAAATTCTGAGAAATGGAAAAAATGGAAATAAAGTCTTTGTAAATAGGGAAGGGTGGAGGGCATGAAGGGAGGGCAAGGGATGGGAAAAAAATAAGAAGCAAGATGCATTAAGTAAAGGTACAATTCCCAATGAGAAATGTAATTGTGTTGTATACCTACAATGTACCAATAAAAGAATTTAATTTAAAAAAAATAAGCCAGGCAAACTAGTGTGTTTTTGTATTTAAATGTGGATCTAAAAAAGTTAAATTCAAAAGTACAGAGTATAACAGTGGTTACTAGGGATTGAGACTGGGGGAAGGCACTAGGGAGGTATAGGTCAAAGGACACAAAATTTCAATTAGATAGGCAGAACAGATCATGTGGTCCATTGTACATCAAGATGACTATATTTGCTAACAATGTATTATGTTCTTGAATATTGCCAAGAGAGGGAATTTTAATTGTTCTCACTATAAAAAAAGAGATGTGAAGTAATACATATGTTTATTAGGTTGATTCAGTCATTCTAGAATGTATACCTGTTTCAAAATAACATGTATATAAATGATAATTACATACAACTGGGGAAGGATAGATTAGCTCTTACTCTAGAATCTGAACAGCACTCTTAAGACCTAACCTGGGGTCTTATTGAGTGAAAAATGTACTTAGCTGGATGGTCAGCATTACAATGTTTCCTGGTACTCTGTGACCCCTGACAACTCTGTTCATCTCACTGATTGCCCCTCTTCCCCATGGCCATGGCTGTTCTCTGTTGGCTGAGTTTCACTCTGCATATGGCAATTTTGACCAAATACTCAAGGGTTCTCCAATGTAGATCTCTAGAGCTACTTCTCTGAACATCTCTCTTCTCTCTAGTATCTTGCCTCACAAACTCCAGGTGCCTCAGTGGTAGTACATAGCAACCTCTGTTGGGTTTTTAATTTCTACTTTTCCTCTGTAAAAATAGTGCTTTTATGTGGGATCTACTTTGCTATCCTTCTTTTAGTACCCCCAGACAGAAAGCCAAAGTGAATGTAAAGCTAACACTACATGCTTCCTTTATCTGAAAGACTGCAAAATGCTGTTGTCCAAAGCAAGAAAAATAGTATTTCATATAATTTATCCAGTTTTACAGACATTCATAATCAAATGATGACTTTGACACTTTTTACTCTGTGACAGCTGGAACTAGAAATCATTATTAATACAGTTCCCTTTTAAATTAAAAACAGCATAGCTAATAAAACCTCAATTTTCATCTATCCAAAGACAACGTAGAGAAACGAATAAGGAGTTAAAATAAGAAGGTAGGCCAGAGTTGTCAACATACTTATATAATTTTTCACTATTTTAATTTTCTCAGAATCAGAAAAAGATTCCAGAAGTCTTATCATTTTCTTGTTCATTTTTATTTCTCACTGATACAACAGTGGACAGCTCAAAACTCTTCATTCATTCCTAACCAAAGCCTAATTTTGTGTTCAACCTGAGTAGACAATTCATTATGAGTCTTAAGTCAAATATGCCAATAATGATACTCCTCTTTCATTTTGACCGGTGATCTCCCAGCCTGCCTTGGAGCTGGAAATGATTGTGCAGGGGTATTTTGATCAAGACATACAGAGAAGTTTGGTAGTAATCTCCTGAGAAAGGTTTCTACTGTATTTTCTTAATAAAAGGAATAGGTGAGGCTAGCCTTTATTCCTGTCTTGACTGTGGGTCTCTTATGACTGTAATATATATTAGGATGAAAAGTCCATACTCTAAATACTGCATGAAGATACAGATGAATCTGATTTCATAACAATGTCACAGGGCAACTAACTAATACAGGAACTAATTACCTCTGAGAAAAATGAAATTAATTTTTAAAATCATTCCTTCTTAAGTTTTCTGTTCCCTAAAATGAAAAGCATTTCTTATTTTTCTCGGTACCGGGAATTGAACTCAGGACCTTGTACTTGCCAGACAGGTGCGGCGCTACATCCCTGGGCCCTAGAAAACATTTCTGACTGGTAAATATCATTTTGTTCTTTAGATTAAGAAGAGTTTGCAGATAAGATGAAGTTAAAAAAAGAAAAATAGAATTTAAAAAGGAAGTGGTTGGGAACTGCATTTCTTTAATATCTTTGGAATGAATAGGTTTTCTGTGGTGTCTCCCTTACATGCCATTCTAGAGTATAAACTTCCTTGTAAACTGGGATTTTCACAGTTCAAAATAGGGGTCTAGGCACTTTTGGGTACTCAAATTAGCTATGGATAGGTTCTAGTTCTAAATGTTCTATAAATTATGTCTGCAATCTAGGTGTTCTTTGTCCCTAACAGGAATAAGGACACTACAAATCTAAAACAGTTTTCTCATGAAGTATGCAAAGAAGAAAAACAAGCAAAAAGATGGTTCATTGTCTTACGTTCACATTCTCTGACATCCAGGTTGAACTGTTGTAAAGCTCCTAAGGTGAGCTGCCTTACTTCAGCCTCCAGCAAAAGTTGCATCAAAGATGTGGCTAAATGCTTGCAAGCTGACATACATGCTGTCTGAGCCACCTTTCCCTGAAATATAAGAGTGTAAACCAGAAAGTTAATTGATAATAAAATTCTAACAGAATCAGAATCACTCATTTTTCAATGGAGAATTTCTCTAAGGTTCTCCCCAACATGACACTCTTGGTGATAATCATGTTATATATTAGCTCCATTACCATAAACCATGGTGGCTATAACACTAAGTTGTAAATCACAAAGCCCAGCCACATAATCAAAAAACACTTTTTAATTGACAGTGACAATGTTCAATATCCTAAGTAAACTTAGAATATTCCACAGAGAACAAATTTGAAAAAATTCCTTCAAAAATATTCTATCTCAATCTTTTTTTTTTTTTTTTTTAAAC